AGGGAGACACGGCAATCGGTGAGGGAAACACGGCACTCGGCGAGGGAAACACGGCAATCGGCAAGGGAAACACGGCTAGTGGGAGGTGTTAGAGGGGTTATATTTTGACATTTTTTGTTTTAAACTGTGCCGTGAGAATGTGTATGCAACCCCGCTTCAAATCTTCAGTGAACGGTTTTTATAGTTCCACTCTCTTTCTCAAAATGTGATCCTTGGCTCGTTTTTTTTTTTTTTTTTTTTAGTTTATTTGGTGATGATAGACCATATTGTGCAAATAAGACGCTAGGTGTACGACCACGGGGGTTTAAGGAGTCCCGTGGTTAGGGAATATAGGGCAAGAGTGTATTTTATACAGAAAATACCACAGTGTCAGGTTAAGTTGGAAGTTGGCTTAGGACGATTTGTTCAACGACAGGGAATCTAAACTAGGGGCTATTGGTAGCGCATGGCTGTAGATTTTACATATTGATTGAATTCCAGTAGAGGTTTCCGATAGCTGATGCGTCGGCACATAGATTTTCAAAGATGGCGGGCGTGTCTATAGATTGTTGCATGTGTTTTTCTTTTTTTCGCATTTTTGTTCTGTATTTATTCTATTTCAGTATGTTTAACCCCATAATTTTCCCTATATATTTAATTCAAGATAAATGCTTAAAATTGTTGAAATCACTGGATTTGCAGTAGAGTAACAAAAATTGTTTCGAAAGCTAGCCATTACCCCATCATCCATGTTGACTGTAAAGTATTATATGTCTGTGATCTGGTTGGATACTATACTGACACCTTTGTCTGCAGGTACTGATGCTTGTACTAGACGAAACCTTTGACGACCTCGAGTGTGTGAGTTTATGGGGCTATGTGATTTTGTGACATGAGCTGCTCAAGGTGTCTTCGCCAGCCCATACACTCCTTCCCATGTGGTAACGGTGACTGACCACCCCCATCTGACATACAATCTATGCCGCTGGACGCCTTGTTGCCCTGCCTCTCAGCCTCTCAACTGCGCTAGTTGACGGTCGATACTGAAGACGATCAAAGGGATGGGCAATTTCAAACAGGGGTCAAGTGCCTTCATCCCCACAGAGTGATCTTCGACACAGGCCGAGTTCCAGGTCTGACCTGCAGGAGTTATCTGTTCCTAGGCAAGGTGCAGTTAGCCTACCAGAGCACCAGGATGAGGTAGCAACAGGTATGCAATCCGTATCTGGGTCTGGATACTCAAAACAGTTTACAATGTTGTATCTCACATCGTAAGGTCTCCGAAGGCCATACTCGAAACAAAATTATGACATTGTAAAGTATTTGTAAGTTGCAACTGTTCTGGGCTCTTGTACGGGTTTCTAACTGCACTGAGTACAGGTAATTTCCCAATTACACAGTCGACAGAAATCTTTCCTTGACTATAACATGCCTTTTCCATATTCAATACCGGGGAATATTAACTGTCTAGTATTTTCTTTGTTTCTATACTTAATCGTCATCTTGAATCAAATATATTTTGAATGTAAATTGAATTACAGACGATAGGCAACATCAAGAATTGCAGCATGAAAGAAACTATTATAGGGAACCCTTGGTTTCTCTCGATGAAAAGGATAATCATTTATTGAAATATCAGATTTCTTAGATTTGTTTTACTATAACAATCCTTGATGCTAAATATCCACCACTGATTTGTTTTACTTCTTTGACGCCAAATATCCAACTAAACAATGCTTTCTAGAATGATTATTCAGGTGATTAGTAACTCCATATGTATGTTTACACTGATTTACTTTGAAATTATATTTTTTGCATGATGCTTCCGAAAGAAATGCATATAACAATAAGTCAAATGTGAGACTTCATAAACACATTGTTTGAATTACAGGAAAAAATGTATATTATTATTTTTTTATTATTATTATTATTATTATTATTATTATTATTATTATTATTATTATTATATATATATATATATATATATATATATATATATATATATATATATATATATATATATATATTTTTTTTTTTTTTTTTTTTTTTTTTTTTTTTTTTTTTTTTTTTTTTTTTGCTTGAAGACGATTGCTAGTTCATATTAACATTTTCTCTGAGCATAGAGCTTGTACGATGGAAAGTTGAGTTATTCAGGAAAATTCATCATAGTTTTTGGTTGAATCTTTGGAAATATCGCTTGAGGAGACAGTTGCTGGGCTTTCCATAGTGTTGGTGACCGTTGGAGGCGTGGCAATAAGATAGCCATGGCTTTCCATTGGTTGTTATGTCTAGCAGACTGACTGCTGATTGACTAACGATCGACTAACGATCCGTCATTCCTTGGTAGTCAATGGAATTCAATTATAATGTAAACACGGGCCTTGCAATGTGCTTACTACATTGTACAACTTTTTTGAGTATGGGTTTAGTAAGGAGATGTAGTTACGATGTAGTATGGCGGTTGCAAAATCCTGCACCTTAAAGGACGGGTAGTTCAGCACAATTACACTGTGCATTATTCTGCATAGCAGAGTTGAAAGCAGTAGTTAGCTTCACCCGACAAATACAGATGCCCCAGCAGAATGTACTTGGCCAGGGTGGTGCCTCGGCCACTTGTGTCCCTGAACCTTTGCCTTCACACCGCACCACTCTCAACAGTCTCTAGCTACCAGAGCCCCTATGTCTGGTACATCTTCACCGTCACATCTGCAGTTATTCTCACACCTACCCGCTTGCTGGTGCTACTGCCCATCACCTCTTTCCCCAGTGACTGAGACGAGATACCTGTATTTTATGGTTAGAATCCTGCATCCCTTAGTCTGCTGTATAATCTGGAGAATGAATCATGGAACGCCAACATATACTGGCCGGTCACAGGTATTTGCCAAAATGGTACTACTACAGGTACTAAGGATAAGTCCGATATGCGAAGGTGAGCTTCGCCCGGGCTATGAGGGGAGCCCGGCCTGTGCCGACTAATGTCGACTCGCTAACAATGTGTCAGCAGGTGCTGACTAGGGTGAGCTTAGTCCTTACCCACCGTGGTGCCCAGCCACAGCAGTAACCTCCAGGCGACAATTGCAACTTCTCGCGCCTGGGCGGGGCGCGAACCGCCGACCCCTCGGATGAGAGGCCGACACGTTACCACTGTACTAGCCCGGAGGCTTACAGGTACTTTTTGAGGGAGTGACACTGTAGGCAAACTTTAGGGTTGCCAACACATCTCACCATTGTTTTTAAGATGCTGACTCAGGCCTGCATGGTAAGCCAGGTGCCATTGGACTTTTATCAAGTCCTTGAAATGGCTGTGATGCAGGGCGCCCGTGAGCATTCCCATGACATCGGGGATAGTGAGGGCTCAGTAAGGACTTTCCAGCCTAGCATGCTGGTTGTAACGACAGCTGTTAATACTCAACTTCACCACTAGAAGGATGGTTGAGAAATGCCAAGCAGCCTAAGATACTACAGCGGGGGTGAAACGTCCTGCTTTCCATCGTCATCCCTCTCTCTACCCAGGGCTCTCCAACACAACACAAGGTGTACCCATGGCTTCATGCTCTACCTCACATACCAGAACCAGTGCAATACCTAGTATTTCCCCAACATGCTTCGCTAGTTACGGGAGTATGTGGCGCTCTCTCTCTCTCTCTCTCTCTCTCTCTCTCTCTCTCTCTCTCTCTCTCTCTCTCTCTCTCTCTCTCTCTCTCTCTCTCTCTCTCTCTCTCTCTCTCTCTCCCCCCTCCCTCCCTCTCCCCCTTCTCCCACCCCCTCTCTCTCTCTCTCTCTCTCTCTCTCTCTCTCTCTCTCTCTCTCTCTCTCTCTCTCTCTCTCTCTCTCTCTCTCTCTCTCTCTCTCTCCCCCTCTCCCTCTCTCTCTCTCTCTCTCTCTCTCTCTCTCTCTCTCTCTCTCTCTCTCTCTCTCTCTCTCTCTCTCTCTCTCTCTCTCTCTCTCCCTCCCTCCCTCCCTCCCTCCCTCCATCTCCCCCTCCCTCTCTCTCTCTCTCTCTCTCTCTCTCTCTCTCTCTCTCTCTCTCTCTCTCTCTCTCTCTCTCTCTCTCTCTCCCTCTCTCATCCTCTCTCCCTCTCTCTCTCTCTCTCTCTCTCTCTCTCTCTCTCTCTCTCTCTCTCTCTCTCTCTCTCTCTCTCTCTCTCTCTCTCTCTCTCTCACTCGCTCTCTCTCCCCCCTCCCCCCCCTCTTTCTCTCTCTCTCTCTCTCTCTCTCTCTCTTTCTTCTCCCCCCCCCCCCCTCTCTCTCTCTAACTCACTCTGACTCTGACTGACTGACTCTCTCTCTCTCTCTCTCTCCTTTCTCCCCCCCCTCTCTGTCTGTCTGTCTGTCTGTCTGTCTCTCTCTCTCTCTCTCTCTCTCTCTCTCTCTCTCTCTCTCTCTCTCTCTCTCTCTCTCTCTCTCTCTCTCTCTCTCTCTCTCGCTCTCTCTCCCCCCCTCCCCCCCTCTTTATCTCTCTCTCCTTCTCTGTTTGTCTCTGTCTCTCTTACTGATGTGTGATTTACAAAATAGATGTGTGCTTTTTATGTGATAACATATCAATATCATATATCAAATTATTTGCAGTTATTTGTATAAGATATTTTGAGTCTGTTGAAAAGAGTTTTTTCTGTGTTGAGGTATATTCATACTGTGGGGATTATTTTACCTTGTGCTCTGCTCCTTTTTGTTTATGTAACTCTATAGGCCAACTGATCATTTTCATGTTTTTCCTCTGAGTTTTATGCTTGGTATTATTCTTAAGCATCATATTTTTGGGTTTTGTCTTCACTCTTTTCTGACTACCACAGAGACTCCTTTTTTCTGAGGAGCATGATAGGACAAGCAAACACATCCTGTTTTCTTTATTTTTTGCACATAATTTATAGGAGTTTTGTACGCCCTTGAGAATATTGTTTTCACAAGGCATTTTTTGAGTAACCAGAATTTTATACTGTAACTTCTGCCCAGTGGGGAGGTTGATAAAACCATTTTACCCAAAATCTAAGGAGTTAATTGAAGTGATACACATGCTGAAAAATAATCAACCCTTTGTCATATATTTACAGTATTGATCTCTGCATTTGTATTGTGCATTCAAAGAATATAATACCTTAGCTCATAACAGATTGATAATGATTACTAATAACAGAAGTGATAGCTTGAAGCAGAATCAAGAAATATTAGTATATTGGGTCATCTGTATAAAACTCAATAGAAGCTTAAAATGTTGTGTCCTACTTAATATTATTTGTATATTGCAGATTATATTAAGCTTTTTACCCAAATTGTTATTTCAGTGTTGCTCAGTCCTTCATTGTATCCACATTCTGTATATGAAAGATGTGTATATGGGCCATTAATATTTAAATTACATACTGTTTGGCATTTTTAGATAATGATAATAGATAATGAGGTATTGAAAGTAGAAATGATAAAGAGCACAGGACAGTTTGTTGGGGTCAGAGAAGCCAAATACATCAGTAACAGTTACCCAGTTGTAGTGCCTATTCTGAAGGCCTCTGTTCAGTCAACTGGAATGCCTGAGAATTCCCATTTTTATTTTGTTTTTTTATCAATTCAATAATTTATTTTACTGTTGCTCATATCTGCTGTTTCACTAGAATAATACTGGTTTGCTTTTGTTGCAGTACAAGAGGCTGATGGCAGATTTGTATTGAAAATTATTTATCTATCCTTCATTTGACTTTATATCTACAGAACCTGTTTTTTTTTCATGGGAAACAGACTTTCAAGCGCTGAAGTATCCAAACCTGCAAGACGAGAGAGGAAAAGACTAAAGAAATAAGAAAGGAAAACAAGGAGCAATGAAAAAAGGAATGTCAGACAATTTCTTGGATGAAAATATACAAATTCATTTTCTGTTATAAATCAATGACAAGAGGATAATTTAGAATCATTATTCTACACAGAGCTTTCAGCCCATGTGTTGGAAAATGAAAACATACAATGGGCATTTCCAATAGAACTATCTGCTATAGCAAATGACATCTGTGGAAATAAAAGCCTTTAAATTTTTTGGTTTTATCAAGAAAGTACTGAGCATTCTATAAGATCCATTATAATTTTAAATAAAATTAAAATAACACTCAACACTAACATCAATGAGTTTAGAGCTTTTATCCTGATTTATTTATTACATTTCTCTGAATTTCTATCATATGCATTTGGATAATTATCAATATATATATTTCCTTACAAATACCTTGATTTAAAAGCCATATTCATCAAGACTACCATTTACATTTTCTAGGTATACTTCAAATAATTTAATGTTTATGGTTTTAGTATGTTTAACCAAAATACATTTACATATATACACACACATACACATATTTTACTTATAGTCTAGAAATTATATTGGAACAAAAGGTAAATACATGAATAATGTAATATTCAGAAAAACAGCAGTGTCAGGAATCACAAAAAAAGAATGGTATATATATACAGACACAGCCAAATTTATGTAAAAAATAGAAAGTTAATCATACTGCGATACTGCTAGTCCTATTTGATTGCCCTCTATTGTATTGCCAGTATTAGGACATGACATCTTGAAACAAATTTATTCATCATCCCTCTATAAAACTGAAGCTTACAGGCATCTAAAACACATATGTTTTCACAAATTAACATACACTCTAACAACCTCAGTCTCTGGCTGACACACTATTATAACTTGAAACATTAAACATGTAATAAATTACCAAGCATTAATGGATAACACTTTTCTAGATCGTCATATCCCTAACCAGTCACTATCAGCATCAAATCTATGAATAACACTTGATACAAAACTGCTCTGCCCAATTCCTTCACCTGCTTAGGAGTGTCATGAGAATTGTGCAAGGTATGCCAATGTTTTTCTTTTATAATATTTCTCTTAGGGGGAAAAAAGAAGAGGATAGCACTATCACAAGTCTTTTTTTATTTTATTTTTTTTAGAAAAACTGTTCTTGTGCTTGTGCTTGTCATTCTTAATCTTCCTATCTGTCCAAATAGATATCCACCCTTTAATGTTGACAATCAACCAATGCTAGTCAACCTATGTATTTTCTATTGTCACACATAGTCTTATGACATATTATAGTCTGTAATGATACAAATGTATCAGTTCCTTCTTGGTTAACTGAATCATGGCATTTTTGTGCAAGCTTTTATACAGTAGTTTCAATACAATAGTCTTCCATTAAGGATTTCACCCAATATCATACATCACTATCAACATCAGTTTCACTTCGGGGCTGTCCAAAATTTCTTGTAATGCTCTCTGACATTGATCTTATGTTCTGGAGATTTATTCCATCTATTCCATCTAAATCTACATCAGAGAGTGGCTCTGTATCAAAACCATCTGAGGTAATACCACTTGGACGATAGTTGTCATATTCAGACTCATAGTAGGCATTAATCTGGTCGAAGGATATAATTGCATCTGAATCAAATATTCTTGACGATGCTCGTGAGGACATGCTTGTGTCATCCATATCTCCATCGTACTGGTGTGGATCATTA